TCATTGTATAATTGAAACATATGCCTCAGAGACCTGGGCCCTACGTAAACAGGATGAGAATGCTATTCAGGTCTCCCAAAGAGGAATTGAAAGAGCTATGCTTGGAATATCACATTTCACTCAAATGAGAGAAAGAATCCGGAGTTCCCACATCCGTTGACAATCAAGAATCAGGGACGCTGCCTCGTTTGCCAAGGTGTCAAAAACCAGATGGGCTGGTCATGTAATGAGATTTAAAGATGACCGCTGGACTAGAGCTGTTACCAACTGGATCCCATGGGATGTCAAAAGACTGCGTGGCCGCCCACCTACCAGATGGTAAGACTTCTTCATCAAGATCATGAACGATCGGTTTGAGGCTCTTCATGTTCCCAGAGTGAACAGATGCCACTGGGCTACACTAGCACGCGACAGGGACAAATGGAGACGTTACCTGGTGCCCGCTCGAGCAAATCGATGACTAACGGGAAGTTAAGTGATTAAGCGAAGTGATAATTGAAACCCAACCACAAAAATTTTTAAGTCTACAACTGTACCTCATGGTGTCTCACTAATAAAAATTAAAAAATAAAAATAAAAGAAAAAAGAAAAAAGAAAAAAAGTGTGAGTATTATAGGGTTAGTTTGAGCCTCTCATGGAATATTTATTAAAAATTTCTTTGTGATATAAAATTAACATCTAATTTGAATTAATTTGAACCCCATTGCTTCATTTTTTTCTATGTGGGAAATGTCAAGGAGAGCAGATGTGGACTACTGCTAAGTGACCAGGCGCAGCTGGGAGAGTTAATGGCAGGGGTTTAAAGGAGGAAACACCAAGCAGATGGGATCATTAAATTATTGATAATGTTTTTGCTATGGTAAATTTATGAATAATGTATGTTTTAAAAAATTTATGAATAATTTATGTTTTCAAAAAAGGACTATTTCCTTTACATTTCCTTGGGAACAACTGAAGGAGTCTTCTTGTTTTGAGTTTAAAGAGAACTGACAGAAGGAGGAAGGTCAGCAAAATGTTCATGCAGTATCTAGGTGAAAATCCCTTCAAACTTCAAATAATAACATAAGCAACTTTATATAAACATGTCACATAGTATTCCTGTATCTAGGGCAGACTGAGACAATGGTTTTAACGACTGAGAGGGCAAGGCCTAAGATAACATTGATATGAAAAGTTTCACATTAACTAGTGTTCTTTCTCCCTCAGAAAACCTCCCAGTGGCGCACAGTGGCTTTGAACAGAGCCTGATCAGCGTGTGGTCACATGTTTAGAATCCCAGCTGTTTAAGCCCTGCTGCTCTGTAGTCTCTGATCTCTGGCACTCCAAGTGACATGGCTGCACTTTAGCCAGGCACCACCAAACACTGCTGTCCCTGAAAAGGCATTGTACGGCAACTAAAATGAAATGAGGGTGCCATGCCAGGAAGTTTGCCTTTAGCGAGCATGTGTGTGACCACCATAGCAACATTCAGTGATGCAACCAAGAACATGACCTCGGGCAAGCACATGTGCAAGTCCCACGCCTCAGAGAGCACCTCAGCTGAGGTCAAGCCCTGCAAACTGAGGTGTTCCCAGGCAAGCACCACACTTAAAGACGTATGAGCACCACCTGCATTACGTATGTCTCTGAGTGTGTGTACAACCTCCAGTCACCACAACAATGATATCAGTAACAACAATACTGAAGGGGAGGACGAGCAGAGGAGGGACAATTTTTTTTTTAAATTTTTTATTGACTCACCATGAGAACAGTTACAAAGCTTTCATGTTTTGTAAGGTGGTCTAATGCAAAGTCCGGAGGCATTTCTGCCAAGAGCTGCTTGGTTCTGAGATTCGTTTGTGTGTCTCTGGAATCATGGCTGTTAAGGAACTTAATCAGTCAAGGACTATGTTTTAATTGAAAGCTCGGTCATACAATGATCAAACACCCATTCTTTCATGAGTGCACATTCTCCTACACCAGAACCCCCAGTAAACCCCCATTTCACCCCTATCTCTGCCTGTGTGGCAGAAAATTTCCACATTACTTTCTCTCTACTTTGATTACATTCAATATTTCAACACCAGTCCCATCATTATTATTTGGAATTTTCCCCCAACGCTCAGACCTGCTGAAAAGGCAATGTTAGACAGTTTGTTTTGTATTGCTGATGATGGTATACAAAGCCATATAACCATGTGAGTATAATTATCTCTTTGAAATAATGATTTCCTTTAGGTGTATTCCTAGAAATGAAATTGTTGGACCATATTGTTGTTTTAGTTGTAAATTTTGAGGCACCACATACTGCTTTCCATGGAGGCTTCACCAATTTATGTTCCCACAATTGGGCTCAATATTGCCTTTTTCCCTCACCTTCACTAACACTGATTATCTCTTTTTCATTGATAATAGGTGTTCTACTTGGTATGAAGTAATATCTCATTGTCACTTAATTTGCATTTCCCTGATGATAATGGTGTCAGTAATATTGCTGTTTCATTATGTTATTTATATTATAGTTGTTAATATATTTTGTTATCCCTGGCCATCTACCCAGAGTCAATGTGAAAATTTTTTTCTTGACATAGAATGCAGCTTTTGCTGTTGTTGTGCCAGACTACATTAGTCATAAGCTGAGAAACCAAATGAAAAGACCCTCGAATAATCTTGGCCCCTTCCTTCCCCTAATTCAAACTAGAGATTGAACAAAGCATTATTTCTAGAAATGTTATAGGACTACTTCCTGTCTTACTCCTAGTGGTGTTCAGGCTCAAACCTGGACCTCCTGAATGCAAAACATGTGTTCCAGCCCTTTGAATTCTATCTCCAGGCCCAAATAAAGAGTTTTGCAATTCTAATATGGTGGCATTGGGTTGCAGGAGAAGAAGGCGATCTTCACAGAAGTTAAACTTCCTTGTAATTTTCACTTTTTGGAAGAACTTGAAGAACAAAAAAGAGCTTAGTGATGGTATTTTTAGCTGGTGCCCTAAAGATAATGAAGGTCTGACACTTATAAAGTGAATAGGCAAGATTATTGGGTCACCAGGGCAAATTATGAAAACAAAATATAGACTGTAAGTAGAACATGGACCTAACCATCCAGAGGCTGTTTCATCAATTATATTTGTAACCAAAATTAATCTGAATGAAATGAATAATTTTAGTGGAACAGTGGATGTATGGAAAAGGCAGTGTTATAAAAATGGCAAAATTAATATAGCATCAAAGTTATACTAAGATATCCAAAGAAATTATAAAATCAGAGGACAAATATACAATAATTAATTTTGATGAATCACAAACTTGTCTGAAATCAGCAACCTCCATTCATGTTAATGTCTTGATTGAATCGCAGCTCAAAATATCCACACATTAAGTAAAAGAATTCTAGCTGGAAAAACATGACCTGGGCATTTACAAGAGTATGAATACCCATTGTGTTTTCTGGTGACAGGACGAAAGATACAGCACAATTTTCCACTCTTGTTCAGGCACTATCATTTAAGTGTAAACCTGGAGTGCACAAAAATAGAATTTAGGTCTGTAAGATGAAGGCATGGTGAGAAGTATCAGGTGACTGTGGAAGGCATGTGTTTATCTGAAAAATAAATATCTCAAAAAAGGAAAAATAGAAATGGGCATGCTTTATCAACCAGGTATCAAAACCTGGTATGTCAGTATGTTTGTGAGAAGCCTATCTTTCCATCTGAGCAAACAGTCGGGGTTTCTTAGAAAAATAAAAACCAACTTCTGAAATCTGGCTCAGTCATACAGTTGTTTTGTGTGTGTGTGTACACGTGTGTGTGCATGTGTGTGTGTGTGAAGATCAAAAAATCTTTGAGTCAGAGAGATAGTAGGTTAGGTAACCTCTCATGTTGTGATCAGTGAAATTTTGGCACCACTTTCAGCACCCTGAGCCCCACCAGTAAGGATCCCTGAGCACAGAGCCAAGAGTAAGCCCTGAGCACTGCACTATGGGTGTGACTCCCGAACCAAAAAAGCAATATAAAACAAAACAAAAAAAAATCAAGAAAGTACCAGGTATGGGAGTTTTTTTACCTACCAATAATGGTCCTGAGCCCTTTCAGTTTATCTGTTGTCTTATAGAAAAGTGTCTTCATCTCCTTTGATATCTTCCTATTAGACTATTTAGACTTTTTGTTTGTTTTGCTGAATTGTATGAATTCTTGATTTATCTTGAATATTAATTCCTCTGCCCCGCTTGGAGAGTCCCGCAAGCTACTAAGCGCCCACAGGTAAGCTACCTGTGACGTATTTGATGTGCCAAAGACAATAACAACAAGTCTCACAATGGAGACATTACTGATGCACACTCAAGCAAATTGATGAATAATGAGAGGAAAGTGCAGTGCTATTAATTTCTCAGATATTTAGTTGCTAATATTTTTCCTATTATGAAGGGTATGTTTTTATTGTATTGGAAGCATAAGTCCTCTTCAAACAACCCCTACATCAGACCTAAAGGAAAAATGATTAGGAAACCAAGTTGATGACAAAGATGCTTAAATAAATAGAGAACTGTCCTAGAGGCATCTTGCGTTCAGTACTGATTCTTTTCCCTCCCAAGCATCTAATTCTGCTGCTCATTGAACTCAGAGAGACAGATACTACAAACCATACAGACCAAAGTAAATTATTTCTGTTCTCTAAACACACTTCTAAGACCCACATTGGATTTATATTTAGAAATTTACTAGCAATAGGTTAACACTTGGTTATCTGGAGAATTCAGTAAAATCCTGAATCAATTTGGGACCCAGCATAAGAGTTACCAGTAGAGCTCTGGGTATGTGTTCATGAGCTGAGGGATTACGGTGAAGGCTGCACTGTGGAGACTTAGCAAGACCAGTGCTGCCTTCCTTGTGTTCCCTGCACTGCTTCTCTTTACTGTGCTTTCAGGAGGAGAGATGGAAGGTGACAGGATTGTGAGGATTCTCATTTGACTCAGCCTCTCTCTTTGCCCTTTTTTATGTTGGCCCAGTCTCTGATGCTGGGAACAATAGAGTTATGTTTGGAAATATTTTTGCTTCACAGATATATACACAGATTGCAGTGGAACTCTGAGGATGTAAAGGTTTGATGTGTGTGACTGTCTGAAGGGTCTTTGCTTTAATATCTGCACAATATTTTCTCTGGAAAAAGAAACCTGTATTTTAATTATGCTCAGCAGCAAAAGGCAGAGATCCCTTCTCTTCGGTGTGAGTCTCTGGTTGCATATCTCCATACCAGTCTTGAAAGGTAGGTTTTGTTCCTCTTTATTTCAGATTCCCTTTTGTAGTAAATGTATTTGCTCTTCTCCAGTTGTGCTTGAATAAACAAAGGTGAAATATTCTATGGAGAACCAATATTGTCATAGCTTCAAATCAACATGCTTTTTTATTGGTTGGGTTTAAATGTAAAATTAAATTTTGTGAGTGAGGTTGGGAGGATAATGAAGCATTTAAGACCACATTTGAGTTTCTTGATTTAAATATGATGATAATAATGACAATGCAGTTTTCTACATCCCTTCTGTGGCTTTCTTAACCTTATTTATTTATATTTTTATTTAACATTTACTTAAACTAGGGTTTACTTGTTAGCTTATGCTATTGGCCACTCCCCGTTTGAAGGTAATAATTTTTGTTTTGAGATCTATGCTCTATTACTATGTTGAAATGTGTGATAAGGATGAAGTTACTCATTTAAAAAGTTAGCACAGAAACGGACAACTGTTGTTGACTGATCAAAACCACATTTCCATATGCTTCTGATTTGCAGGGGTCTGATTCTTCTTCAAGACTCATAGAGAGTTTGTCTAAAATGTCTTAAAGTGGGAAGATGTATTATAGGAAGACTTTAAAAATAGCCCTACATCAAATGATATCATTTATTAATTTTGATGGCAAGAATGTTGCTTTACATTTAAAATCACTTTCTGCTAAAAATCTCAGCATTTCAGTGTTTCCAAATGTTTTTTTGTCAAACTTTTAGTTGATATATTTGTATTTTTTACAGCAACAATTTTTTCATTTATTTTTACTGGTTAAGTTTTTCAATTCCTGAATTTTTTTCTTTCAGGATATGTACCATTTGGGAAATTTGTAGAATTGTACTGCAGGTATCAAATTTTAATTTTATAGAAAAAGCAGAGGGATGTATTAATGAAATGAATTAGTTAAGTGAAGACAAGTAACTTCTAATGCATTCTTGGAAAAATACAAAAGAATATGTGCTCAATTGTTTTCTAAGAATTAATGATTTAAAATGTCAATTAAATTTAAAATGATTTTTGAACTAAAAATGTAAAGATAACTGATCATAAAAGACTTGCACTCATACATTTCTAAAATAAGTGAACATCAAAGTTGATTTTTTAAAGATAAGTTGTTTTCAGGAACTTAATAAAACGACTAGTCATTTGTATTAGTGTAGGGAAGGGCTCTTCTTTTTTTTTTGCTTTTTTTTGGGGGGGGTGGTCACACCCAGCGATGCACAGGGGTTACTCCTGGTTCATGCACTCAGGAATTACTCCTGGTCGTGCTCAGGGGACCATATGGGATGCTGGGAATTGAACCCAGGACGGGCTGCATGCAAGGCAAATGCCCTACCCGCTGTGCTATCACTCCAGCCCCCGTGGGGCTCTTCTTTAAGGAATATGCTCGGTCTCTGTTTTGACAGGCAAGAACAGGAGAATTCCTGAATAACTGCATCAGTGTAACTGTGAATTACATTTAGTGACCTAAGCAAACTTCTCAGTATTCCTGTCATCTCCTTACATTTGTGATGCCTTCAATTTGTGAAACTGTTCTTACCTACGTTCCTGCCTTTGACTTCGCATCAGTGCTTAGAATAGGCATTGGTATTTATGTCTCTGCTGCACAGGTCAATAGTGGAGGCTTATAGAGGGGAGATGAAATGGGCATTAGTAGAAGGGTGCTTGGTAGCCACTGAGCAGGGACAGAGTGCTCAGTGAGGTTGTACACGCCTGTGGGCTATGTTCCTCTGAGGGTGGAAGTGTGCAGAATTTCTCATTCGCCAGTATCTTCTCTAATTCTCTAATATCTTTTCTCTGTTTGGCTACACAGGCTGTGCGTCAGAAGAGAGACTCTTCCACAAACTGTTTTCTCATTATAATCGGTTCATCAGACCCGTGGAAAATGTTTCTGACCCTGTCATGGTGTATTTTGAAGTGGCCATCACTCAGCTGGCCAATGTGGTAGGTGCCATAAGTTCACCAAGTATCCTGAGAAAATCCCCAACTCTGAGAGGCCAGAGTAGTTCCCCTAGATTTTTACAAATAGTCCTCCCTACCACAGCGATAGGGCGTTTGCCTTGCACGCAGCCAACATTGAACCCAAGTTCAATTCCTCCACCCCTCTCGGAGAGCCCGGCAAGCTACTGAGAGTATCTCACCCGCTCGGCAGAGCCTGGCAAGCTACCCATGATGTATTCGATATGCCAAACACAGTAACAACAAAGTCTCCAATGGAGACGTTACTGGGCCCGCTCGAGCAAATCGATGAACAACGGGAGGACAGTGACAGTGACAGCGACAGTCCTCCCATTGTTCATTGATTTGCTCTAGTGGGCCCAGTAGCGTCTCCATCATGAGACTTCTTGTTATTGTGTTTGGCATATTGAATACGTATGGGTAGCTTGCCAAGCTTAGCCCTGCAGGCGAGATACTCTTGGTAGCTTGCTGGGCTCTCTGAGAGGGGCGGAGGAATCGAACCCGGCTCAGCCAGGCTGGCTGCGTGCAAAGCAAACGGCCTACCACTGTGCTATTGCTCCAGCACATTACCCATAGTAAACAAGGGAAATTTAAATATACAAATGATCTACATAAGTACTGGTCTTACAAAATCCATTGGAGCTAGAACTATTCATGGCAGAACTGTTTTCCTGGAAGTCTTTTGGAATCAGCTAATGAAAGAGCTAAAGGAAAAAGGAAAAGAGAGAAAAGAGAAAAGAAAAAAAGGAAAGGAGCATACAAAGGAAACTAATTCATTGTGCAACTATTAAGCACCAGTTGTACTCACTACATTTTCCAGTTGGAAAGAGAGGAGTTCAGTTTAGCAGTGTTCCCAAGACTGCATGATTAAAAATGGTGCATCTGTGATTTAAGTCAGAATTGATCAACTACAAGTTTAGGCTTTTTTCACTTCATAGACAAATAATTGCCTTAAAATTTCTCTATATTTTGTCAGAAGAAAGAAACATATCTTCTTTCTTACAAAGTTCCATCTGTTCTTAAAAAGAAAGGTTAGGATTCTGAGGTCTAGTTTTAATTTATTGCCAGTATGTCAAGGAGAAGAGCAAAGTCTTCTTTTTTTTAAAATTTTATTGAATCACCGTGAGAAAGTTACAAACTGTCATGTTTGGATTACAATCACACAATGATCAAACACTCATCCCTTCACCAGTGCACATTCCCCACTACCAATATCCCCGGTATACCCCCCCTTTCTCACCTTCCCCCTGCTTCCATGGCAGGCATTATTCCCCATAATATCTATTTTGGGGCATTACGGTTTTCACTCTGGGCTGGAGTGATAGCACAGCGGGTAGGGCGTTCGCCTTACAAGCGGCCAACATGGCCGACCCGAGTTCGATTCCTCCGCCCCTCTCGGAGAGCCCGGCAAGCTACCAAGAGTATTCGATATGCCAGACACAGTAACAACAAAGTCTCCAATGGAGACGTTACTGGGCCCGCTCGAGCAAATCGACGATCAACGGGAGGGCCTTTACCTTACCTTTACCTTACGGTTTTCAATAAAGACTTTGAGAGGTTATCATGTTTGGTTCTTTATCTACTTTCTGCACACATCTCTCATCGCAACGGATTTCCCCAGCCATTTTTTTCTTAGTGATTCCTTCTCTATTCCAGCTGCCTTCTCCCCTTTGCTCATGAGAAAAACTTCCAGCTATGGAGCAATCTATCTGTCCTGTGTATCTACTATCCTTAGGTGTCAGCCTCATGTTATGTTGTTTTGTACTCCACAAATGAGTGCAGTCCTTCTATGTCTGTCCCCCTCTTTCTGACTCATTTCACTTAGCATGATACTCTCCATGTATATCCATTTATAAGCAAAGTTCATGATTCCTCTTTCCTGCCAGCTGCATAGTATTCCATTGTGTAGATGTACTAAAGTTTCTTTAACCAGTCACCTGTTCTAGGGCACTTAGGTTGTTTCCAGATTTTTGGCTATTGTGAATAGTGCTGCAATGAACATATAGATACAGATGTCATTTCTACTGTGGTTTTTTGTATCCTCAGGATATATTCCCAGAAGTGGTATTTTCGGGGTCATTTGGAAGAGCAATTTCTAGTTTTTGAAGGACTGTACATATTGTTTTCCAGAAAGGCTGAACTAGTGGGCATTCCCACCAACAGTGAGTGTCCCTTTTCCCCCCACATCCACGCCAGCACTGGTTGCTTTTGTTCTTTTGAATGTGTGCCAGTCTCTGTGGTGTGAGATGATATCTCATTGTTGTTTTGATTTGCATCTCCCTGATGGCTAGCAATGTGGAGCATTTTTTCATGTGCCTTTTGGCCATTCGTATTTCTCTTTTGAGGAAACTTCTGTTCATTTCTTCTCCCCATTTTTTGATGGGGTTGGAGGTTTTTTCTTGTACAATTCTACTAGTGTCTTGTATATCCTGAATATTAATCCCTTATCAGATGGGTATTGGGTAAATATTCTTTCCCATTCTGTGGACTCTTTCTGTATTTTGGTCACTGTTTCTTTTGAAGTGCAGAAGCTTCTTAGTTTGATGTAGTCCCATTTGTTTTTGTTTGCTTCCACTTGCAGGGGCAGTGCTGTTTCATCCTTAAAGATGTTTTTAGCTTCAATGTTGTGGAGAGTTTTGTCTACATTTTCCTCTATGTACCTTATGGATTCATGTCTGACATTGAGGTCTTTAATCCACTTTGATCTGACTTTTGTGCGTGGCATTAGACAGGGTCAGCGTTCATTTTTTTGCAGGTAGCTATCCAGTTTTCCCAGCACCACTTGTTGAAGAGGCTTTCCTTGTTCCACTTCACATTTCTTGCTCCTTGTTCCACTTCACATTTCTTGCTCCTTGAGCCAACTCTTCTTTTCTACCAGGGGCTCCATCCATCAGTGCTTGTGGTACTCAGGCTCCCCCAGTGATGCTTAGCCTGGTGGTATGAGCGGACTTGGTTCCATGTTTGACTCAGCTGTGTGGTGCTCAGGGCCACTAGGGTCATCAGGACTACAGCTCACTGTGCCTGGAGGACTGTGTGCTAGGGAATGAACTCAGGGCCTTGTACACTCTAGACTTGTCCTCTGTCACTCGAGCCACCCCCCGTCTCTCGCCCTAGAGCTCTTTCTTTTGAGTAGTATTCACACCCTAGTTGATGCAGAGGAGGAAGAGGGATCTGGAACTCTGGCACAGAATGGGGTTCTGGGTTCCATGGCAAGGTGGGAAGTGAAGATGGGCACTCAGATTCTGGATCAGATACCAGGAATAGTATGCTGAGGGAATGAAGAAAGTCTAAAACGGAACCAGGGAAGGGTGTGAGACAAGTTCTCTAGTAATGCACAGACAGACGGAGCCTCTTTCATTACTCTAGTCTGGCCCATGACTGTGGAAGAAGCACTCCCTCCCAGACTTTGTCATGGGGAAAAATATCAACTCCCCAAGTGTACTTGGGGAAAGAACTTCATTTCATTTATGAAGTTAGGGTGAATTCCATTCCATTATTCACCATAGACTAGGCTGATGTTTTGGGACTGGGCTGGATGTGTTTATAGCTTGGTAAATCTTGGATTGAAAAGATATAATTCTTTCTCCCACCTAACTGGACCCATTCATTCTTTTAATAATTTTTTGTACCTATTCTCTAAACAAGCTTATTATTGCTCGTCTACAAAGTTGGAGGCTACACTTTTTATGCACTGAATTGTTATAAATGGAGAACTAGACTAAATTTCACCTAAAATCTGTGAGGATAGTCTCAGAATACATCATCCCTTCCCTTCATATCCCTGGTCAATAAGTCCTTTGTTCTGAGGATGCAGGGGGCTGGTGAATACAAATTTTAAGATTTGCATATGACTGCTATCATAGATTGAAAAACAATAAAGCACAGGCAGAAAAGTTAATTCTTTCTTATGCAGCAAATCTAAAAGACCAGCTGATTTTGTGGTGTCAGCAACAGTTCCAGTCTGTGCGGTACATCAGGTCAGGCAAAGCACTTGTCACTCACGGGGAATGTGATGCTAAATATAGCATGACAGAGCCAGTGTTCCTTATGTCTTTCAGCACTCTTGCATGTGATTCATTCCCTGCCTCATAGTCCAAGGGAACTGCTGTATTTTTCACTCATAGGCACAGTCTTGGCAAGAAGCAGGATATAGGGAGAAGAGGATATATAGCAACCACTGGATTTCCTTAACAAGTTTGGCTAGAGGTTCTACTAACAGCATCTTTCTATTTTTGTTTACACCTTGTGCTGAAAAGGAAATTTCGGAAATGTAGTTTTTCCAATTAAAATTTTATTTGTCGAAATACTTGCAGATTATTCAATAGTTATTTATTTATAATTTACTTTTTATTGAAATAATTTGTAGATTTGTGTGCAGTTGTAAAAAGTAATAAAGAAATCCTTGCCTCCTTTGCCATGTTTCCCCAATAGCAAATACTAACCATTTCCATTTGTAAAATTGCTCATTTCAAAAAATATTATATATGAATGGAATTTTATAATATATAATCTTGGGGAACCCCATCCCACTTAGCACAATACCCAAGAGATTCAATAATAGCAATAGGTTGCTTCTTCTAGTTGCTGAACAGGATTTTATGGTATTAATGTGATAGTTTGCTTAACCATTCATTGAAGAATATTTTAGTAGATTCCCATTTTTGTCTATTATTAACAAAGCTCCTATGAACACTCTTGTGCACATATTTGGTGATCATAGATCACACAGTCTATAGGTCATATAGTAATTGCATGTTTCATTTTTTTTTCCCTTTATTTTATTTTATTTTTTTAAAGTTGTAGATTTACAATTTTTTGTGCTTTGGTTTCAATTATACAATGATCAGATACCCATCCCTCCACCAGTGCCCATTTTCCACCACCATGGATAATATCCCTCCCACCCCCATCCCCCCATCCCCCCTGTCTCTGTGGCAGGGCAATCCCCTGTGTTCTCTCTCTCCTTTTGGGTGTTGTGGTCTGCA